AGATTTGGTTGAAAGCGATAGTTCCGAAGATGAAGCATATGATGTTGAGGATCCTGAATCGTTCAATGTTGATGATGATATTTTCATAGATATTAAAACTACTAAACCTCAACGTCTGAGTAAGTGAATTTGCCTTTTTGTTAACTATTAATACATTTATAAAACTAGCTTGTGTATTGTTTCGTTTTTGTAGTGCCCGATAATGTTACGGATGAAACAGTGGGTACGCTGCATTTCGCAGAAGAATTCGAAAAGCGATACGGACAGGCACATCCAGAATTTTATACAGGCAAATTTAAGGATGCTGTTAAAGAGTCATGTTTAAAACCAGCAAAAGAGGTTTGTAATTATTCTGATCGATGATCATGTTAAATAATATTTGCTATAAAGTATTATAAATTGAATTCATTTTAGAGAAAATTATTGGCTGTATATTTACATCATGATAATAGTATACTAGCGAACGTATTTTGCACACAATTGTTAGGCTTTGAGACAGTACTACAAGTATTGTCCGCAAATTTCGTTGTGTGGGGTTGGGATATTACTTACGAGTCTAATAAACAGAGGTATGTGTTGTTCCAAGAAATTATTTTGATCTAATCAAATAATATTTTTGTTCGTAATTAGTATACCTTTGGTTTTCAGGTTTCTTTTATCTGTAAAAGAAACATTAGGATCAGTTGCAGCGTTAGCTATGAAAAATATAGACGTCGATACGTTACCCGTTCTTGTAATTATAATGAGAATCAGATCCAATACAGAAATATTTACGACGGTTCACGGTAATGTGGGAGTTAGTGAATTACTAACCAATTTAATTCATGCTGTAGATGTATTTCAGGTAAAAAAGAAATGATTTTATATGAACAATAAATGAATTTCCATTATATTTTAATCTGAGGAGTTTCTCAAACATTAGGAATATAGGATAGCTGATATTGGAGTTGAAGAAGAGAGACAAGCCAGAGAAAGAGTAAAGCAGGAGCAGGATAGAGCATATCAAGAAAGTTTAGATGCCGATAGGTAAGTAAAGAATAATCGATTAATCGTGATGAAAAACGATTTAATATATTTTAATAAAACGTATACTTGCTATTGTGTAGAGCAAAAGAAAAAGCAAAAGAGTTGGAAAAAAGACGAAAAGAAGAGGCAGAGAATGAAAGGTTGGCTGAAGAAGCAAGGAAAGAAGCTTATAGGCAAACTATAGAATCGAGTTTACCTCCTGAACCGCTGGAAGGAGTTAACGACGGTGTACTAAGAGTTAGAATATGGCTTCCAGCTGGAAGAGTACTACAGCGCAGATTTCAATCAGACACACCACTACAAACACTTCTTAATTTCCTCATTGCGGAAGGTTATCCTACGGAAGAGTACAGGATCCTACGTAGTTGGCCTCGAAGGGATGTAAGTAGATGATGTAAGCATTTGAGTTCTTATTATATAGATGTTTCTTTACGCCGTTCCATCTATCGCGTTAAATGCAGGCAAAAGTTGGTATTCATGTTTTCATGAGAAATTCGAACGCATGTTTGAAGATTACCATACAACGTCAAAATCATTCTGTCTTTTCTAGTTAACATCCATGGATTCAAAACTCACTCTCATGGACCTAAAATTCTGTCCTCAAGAAACGCTAATTTTAGAAGAACGATAAGTATAAGTAATTTGTTGTAATTAAATTAAAATGTAGAAATTAAGCATTGCAATATTCTGAAAGTGTTATTTATTTAACAAGTTTCGAATAGTTATCAATTAATATGAGTTCTGTTTATTACGCAATTACATTTTTACGCTATATCTTTTCGTACTATTCATTCGTACGACAAATGTAGTTTTATATTATATATATATATTTATACAT